CAGAGACAGTTTGGCAGCGATGGAAAGGGACTTGAAGGAAATAGGAAATGGGGTCTAAACAGCTGCCCCTCCAGAGCCTGGTGTGGAACCAGGGACCCCTCACCATCCCCTCCCAGCTGAAACAACTGACACAGGATCCCTCCCATCCCTTCCTGAACTGGTCCACACAAAGCTCACCAGTTTAGGGATAAACTGGAAGCCTGGCAGGCTTTATTGTCAAAAAGTCTCTGATTCTCCTACAGAGATGCAGCAGTTTGGGAATAGAGCCCAAGCAATGAGTTATAGTGCAGGATAAATGGTCTCACAGGGCAGCTGAGCTGCAGAAGTGTGTCTGACCCTAGGGAGTGGTGAGTCCCTTTATGCTGGTGATTTAGGGACTTCTCCCTCTCTTTCCCCTATTTTTGTGGTGTAGCCCTTGAGCCTTTGGGGTCGTGGCTCTGGGTGCATTTGCCCAGCTCAGGGTGTCTATAACCCAGCCCTGGGTTTTGTGGTTCCACAGCTCAATGCAGCCTCGAATCTTGATTTAATTTCTGCCTTCACCACTGAGATTCTAAGGCTCAGTTGCTGCAAATGAAACCTTTTTCAAAGTGTTCATTAACTGGATGCTCCTCATTTTCTGGCTGCTCAATTTGAGGCAATATCTGCTCTGTGTTCTTGGAGCTGCAGCTGGACCTGAGTTCACAGCATTTAAAGCCCCATATAACACTAAGCACTCTGTAAAAAGCATGATCTCATTTTCTAAATTGGATATCCCAAATTTATGAACACTTTTACAACACAGAGACTTTCTAATAATTTTTTCACCACTCGGTCAAAATAAAATGGAAAGATATATAAATAAAATGGGACAATAAGTTAATCAAAAACGTATTCATAATGTAAGCTTTGGAAAAGCCAGGAATAAATTAATCACATGTGCTCAGAGTAGAACCTGAGTTTGGTGAAGTGGGTTAAACTAAGCACAGGCAAAATTATCTTGTTCTGTAATTAAACATTGAATCAGGGGGTTGTTCAGTTGTTTCTGAGTAACCCCTGAGGAGGGGAACCATCAGAAATGGGCTGCACACTGAACAAGAAGAGAAAACAAATATTAAATAGCTGCTCATTAATTTAGAATCATCCACCCTCTCCTCTGAGGGGGGCGAGGGCCCTGCAGAAAAATTAGTACATGATTGTGTGATTGGAGGTGGCAGCAATGCTGCATCACACAAGAGGCTCCAATTAAGATTGCCCAGGACATTTGATCCTGGAATTTCTTAACTTTGGAATATTTGCCTTAGCTTTTTCAGTAATGTTCTTTTAACTTGGAATATTGTATGTAATATATATATAAATGTTGTTTTTCACTAAAGCTGATTTGTCTCCAAGTGGTGTCATTCTCACTCTCCCGCTGTAACCAGCTCTGAGGGAGAAGCAGCTGGTGTGCTAAAACAAGTGATGGACTTTGAAATCCTGCAAGGTTAGGAACTGAAGGATTGGAGGCAGGTATTTACACAAATGTCAGCTTTTTTGGCCTGCTACATTTTCCTCCCACTCTTTTCCCCACTCTATTTTATGGAGCAAAGTGTAAACATTTGCTTCAAAGTGTTTTGTGGCTTTAATTGGTGAGTGATCCCACAGTAACTCCATGGTGGTTGTGGTTTCTCAGTGGCTTCTCTATCTCAGGGTCTTCCTAAATAGAAAGTTGGGGTTCTTCATAATTTCCAGCTGCAGCTCAATGTGGGGAGTCAAACTGAGCTCTCCTGGCTCAGCACCATCAGGAACCATTCTGGGAGCAGAATTGGGTTAACTGAGCTCTGTTCCTCATGTTTGGGTCAGGACAGAGCCCAACTCCCACTCTGAGGGCTCTGTGGACTCTGCCCTGCTGAATAAAGGCAAAACACCAATACTGGGTGATCACCATTAATGTGAGCAGGTGCATGTTTGACTGCAGGGAACAGGTCTAGGAAATAGGAACTTGGGGGTTTTAAGGCATGAAAATCAATGACTAACACTTTGCGGGGTTTAATTAATCTCCCATTTAATAATGCAGGATCAGTGGTCAAATAGCTCTTCCAGGGTGCTCCTGGCAGTGAATACAAGTTGGTCAGGGGCTGGAAGAGCCAGAAGGAATGTTTTACCCAGTACACAGCACTATCTGGCTAAATCTGTGGGGTTGAAGGGTTATCTTCCTATACTAGGGTTTTGTCACCTGTGATGAAACTTTCCAGTGACTAAAGGGGCTGCAAGAGAGCTGAAGAGGGACTTTGGACAAGGGATGGAGGGACAGGACAAGGGGAAACGACTTCAAACTGCCAGAGGGCAGGGTTAGATATCGGGAAGGAATTCTTGGCTGGGAGGGTGGGAAGGCCCTGGTACAGGTTGTCCAGAGCAGCTGTGGCTGCCCCTGGATCCCTGCAAGTGTCCAAGGCCAGGTTGGAGCAACCTGAGCTAGTGGAAGATGTCCCTGCCCATGGCAGGGGGTGGAATGAGATGAGCTTTAAGGTCCCTTCCAACCCAAACCATTCTGAGATTCTATGACAAGATATCCTGGAAGCATAACCAGCTTTAGACCTTCACATCATGATAGTGGTGACATGATTAAAACAATCTTGGTCAGAATGGGATGAGAACTGAGTGATCATTAAGCATCTTGCTCTGTCAGCTGAAACAAATACTCCACAAATACCCTTTCTAGGGTGTTTTATGAGCAGTGGGGGATGTTTGCTGGGTGTTTGCTGAAGTGAATCTTTTGCCTTTGGAATTGGGATTCTGGGAGTGGATCCTGATTGCTGCAGCAGCCTCAGTGCTGTCACATACCCTGAGACAGGAATTGTAGCTGGAGGGAAGAAAAAATACAGCCAGAGAGATGAGGTTTGGAACCTCACAAATTGCCTCTGCTACCTTGTGATGATATACGGGCACAGAAGTCACAAAGAAAGAGCTGTTCTTGGGAAGAGCTGGTTCCCTGTGCCATGTCCCATTCCAGGGGCTGTTTACAGAGAACTGCCACAGGGATTTGTAAGGGATCTCGGCAGGCAGGCTCTGCGGTTCTGCCAGCAGCATTTCATCCCGGGAGTTCTTAACAATGCTTTGCCTCATTTCTAGGCACAAGTGGAATTAATGTGGGGTTTCACCACTGTAGAAGAGGCTGCTAATGGGATATTAGAATAGATTTCAAGACCACACTGAGCTCACCCTCCTGTTCCATCAGGATTTGATCTTAAGGTCATTCAAGCCACAACACAATCTTACCCCACGTTCCTGTGGGTAGCTTTTTTAAGACAAAGGATGCCCTTTCATCCCCCATTCGAGTGAGTCACTGGGGGATTGTGAATGAGCTGACACCCAATTCCTGTCTCTTAGTCACAAGAGGTTGCTTAAGGAGACTGTTCCTGGTCCTTTTTCTACTCAGTCTCTCTTTTTTTCACGAAACACGATTTTCTCTGTGTTTTTCTGAAATTCGGTTTGAATTGGCCAATGGTTCAGAAGTTACAGAATCCCAGAGTGGTTTAGGTTGGAAGGGACCTTAAAGACCATCTCATTCCACCCCCTGCCATGGGCAGGGACATGTTCCATTAGCCCAGGTTGCTCCAACCTGGCCTTGGACACTTCCAGGGATGTGGCAGCCACAGCTTCTCTGGGCATTCGACCACCTGAGGAAACAGAACTGGAAATACAAAGTGGACCAAGCCTGGGTGTTCCTGAATGATGGGAGGACATCTGAGTCCTGCATTCCAGAGTGATCCCCACTTGGATCTACCTGCCCTTTCTGCTGTAGGATCAGTGAACACAGTCACAGTAAAATTCCTGGCCAATTGTGCTCAGTTCTGCTAAAATGTGTTGCTGCAGTAAATGTCCAGTTTTCCTTCCACAGCAGCACCTGTGACCCTGGGAAATGTGGCAACTGTGAGAAGTTTTTGATTAATTTCTGCTTTGGTTTTGTTTTTCCCAACAGTTTTATTAAAATTTCTGCCTTGCTGTTTAGATTTGAAGCTTTACTATTTTTGTTTTTTTTTTTTTTTTCAATTCCTAAGCGGTCACTGTTTGTACCTTGCACTTCCAGGAGCCTTGGAGTTCCTGTGCCTGCACATGTCTCAGTCTGTGGATTCACAATTCTGAGGGAAAAACCCCCAGTACCTTCACACCTGTGCCAGTGGTGTCACTTGTGAGAAGTTCATTAGCTCATTTGTGTATCTCTCAGTTATTCCCTTTCACAGACCCCCCCCCAGCATTTCTCCCCTTTCAGTTTTATTCTGAAGAGCTTTGTTCCTGCTGATCCACACACCAGCTGCCACCGTATTTTCTGGATGCTTGAACTCTCCACTCAAAACCTGTTCTGTAGCTGTTCTGTGGAGCTGATTGAACATGGGATTTGTGTGCCAGGGAATCAAGAGATTGTTAAGGTTGGAAAAGACCTTTAAGATCAAGTCCAACCATCAACAAGCACCACCATGTTCACCAATAAGCCTGTTCCGAACTGCCACATCTCAAGTATTTTTTGAACACTTCCAAGGATGGGGACTCCACCGCTTCCATTCCAACGCTTTGCAACCCTTTCTATGAAGAAATTTTCCTCAATATCCAACCTGACCCTCCCTTGGCACAGCTTGAGGCCATTTCCTCTTGTCCTGTGCCTTGTTGATGTGCCCAATGCCCACCTTGTGCCCCGGCCCAGAGCACTGAGTGCCATAGCCAGTCCTTCCTTGGACACCTCCACTATCTCCCTGGGCAGCCTCTTCCAATGCCTGACCACCCTTTCCAGCAAGAAATTCCTCCTGATGTCCAACCTGACCCTCCCCTGGCACAGCTTGAGGCCGTTCCCTCTTCTCCTGTCCCTTGTTCCCTGGGAGCAGAGCCCGACCCCCCCCGGTTCCCCCCTCCTGTCAGGGAGTTGCAGAGCCAGAAGGTCCCCCCTGAACCTCCTTTTCTCCAGGCTGAGCCCCCCCAGCTCCCTCAGCTGCTCCTGCTGCTCCAGCCCCTTCCCAGCTCCGTTCCCTTCCCTGGACACGCTCCAGCCCCTCAGTGTCTGTCTTGGAATGAGGGGCCCAGGACTGCCCCCAGGGCTGGAGGTGCCCCAGCAGTGCCAGCACAGGGATGGGCACTGCCCTGGTCCTGTGGACATGCTGGGACTGACACAAGCCAGGTGCTCTCAGCTTTCCCCCACTGGGCTTGTGTTCCCCCCCTGCCACCAGCACCCCCAGGGCCTTTCCCACTGGGCACTTTCCAGCTGCTCTTCCCCTTTATTGTTGGGGGTTGTGGTGCCCCAACTGCAGGACGTTGGCCCCGTGCCCCTTCAGGGGGTGATTTCTTTTTATTCTTTTCATTTTGGCAGTAGAAACTCGTCTACAATTTCATTTGTGCTGCAAAAAAAAAAAAAGAAGACTGTTTTCACTGGTGTAGTTAATGAGGGGTGCCCAGGAGATTCCTGAGAACTGTGTTAGTCCAGAACAGGAAAAGATGTGCTATTCCAAAGCCCATGTGTCAGCAAATCTAATTTTTTTGTGGTGTGTGCTTTCCCCCAGCACGTAGTTTGATTATATTTGTACAAAGTAGAGCTTTCCTGGTGCAGTTTCATTCTCCTTGGAGCTCTGTGCCAGCAAGGGACGCTGGAATCCTTCTTCAGCAAATGGTGCTGGGGTAGGGCTGACCTCAGGAACATTCTCTGGTGGAAAACCTGGAAAATGAATCTGTACTTGAGAGTTTTGCTGACTTTAATATCTCCAAGCTGCACAGTTCTCCTAAAGGGAGACTTAGTGCCTGCAAAAGGAGCCTTTGGACAGCTGGGAAATTGGATTGGGATTACCACAAAAAGACTGGTGGTAGTGTCACCTTCATGAAAGGGTGTGGGCTAATTCTGACAGCTGTTAATATGAAGATATTACATTATTATTAATTATTACTTCTACTGATATAATTAAAATATGTTAATATAATAAGACTGGGATAAATCCCAAAGGTTTCATCTCTTAAAGTCCAGAATGTAGCTAGAGGAGACAAATCCACTTTTTCAGAATATTTTTAAAATAAGAAGCAACACTGAGAAATTTTCTCTAAACCTGCAGCGTGTTGGGATGCAGATCCAGCACTTTGCAAGGCAAAGGTCCAGCAATCAAAACTTAATGGTTTAAAAAAAAAGTCCTGTCAAAATGCTGCTTCTCAAAAGGTTATTTTGCCAACCTTCTGTTGGAGTGGTTTTAAGATTTATTAGAGGCTGAGGCTTGGCTTCCTCATGACAGAGCAGCTTAAGCTGGTATTTCACATGCACGGTTCATGTCTCAGCATCTGCTGAGCACCCAAAATAAATGAGCTCCAAGGTCACCTCTTGGAACTTAAATCACAGGCTTTCTGAGCAGATCTGCTGCTCTCCCTAGTTCTCAGTGGCAAGGGGGACAAGCCTTTAAGCGGTTTAAACTCCTCCTTCCCCCTGCCCCACTCCAAATTAAATCATCTGACACTAATTGGCACGTTCCCAGTGCCTGGAGCCCTCGGAGTTCCAATGATCTCCAAACAAATTAACTATGAAACAAGTCAGGAAGCAGCTCAGGGACAGCTGCCTGGTGGAACCAGAGGATCAAAGCACAAAGCTGGAGAATGAACTCCTGAAGTGCTAATAACTCCTTATACCTTTGAATGGGAGAGAATTAAGCTGGGGAGGGAGCAGCTCTGTCATATTCTGGTTATTTAAAGGGAGGTGAGGCTGCTTGGATTTTCGCTGAGGAGACCAGTGAGAAAGCCTGGAACTGGCTGGGGTGGTTTAGGGAAGTTCCAGTCCAAACCTGAGGGAGAACCAGGTAGGATGGGTGGGTTTTCTGGGTCTGAGTTGTGTTTGCCTTGCTCACTAAGCTAAAATACCTTCCTGTTTTCTCCCTTTCCCAGAAGTAAAGGCCCAGCCAGCACCAGGGCAGCAAGCTGGAATCCAACTTGTCCAGGAGACCAGCTGAGCTTGAGCGAGTCATGCCCAAAAAGTGCTTACCTGGCAGAACCCAAATCCTTAATCACACGTGGAAAAGGAGAATCCAGCTGGTGTCTTCTGTCCTACACATTCCTGTCACATTCATCCTTCTGTTTGCTCACTAAATTTGACACAATGCTCGAGGTACCAGAACCACAACCCCTTTCCCTTCCCCTCCTCCTCAAAGCCACCTCAGAAGCTGAAATGGCTTTTCCTCTCCTATCTTCGCTCCTCTTCATCCTCTCCCTTGTCTCTGCTCCCTCTAGTGTTCCCATGCAGGTGCTGGTTTTCTCTCCTGCTCTAGGCAGGGACAACGAGGATTAAATTTGGGATTTATTATCCCTGCATTTTGCATAACGTGGGAATTACATCAGCCTGCCTTGGAAGAGAAAATAATTCAGAGTCTCTGCAACCTTCACTTCACCTCCTTGTGCCATCACAGCCTCCACCTGCCACTGACCTGGAGGCCAACTCCAAATTCAGTTGGTTTTCCAACCCACACTTTTATCATTTTGACTTCATTCTCAGTTCATGGCTTGGGGATTTCTTCACAATCTTAAAATTTCTTTTTAATTCAGGAAGCTGGAAATTTAGTAGGATATAACACCTGGGGTTAGAGCCTGGGGTTTTGGTAACACTACAACAACATCCACTGCAACTAAATATTGTGCTCTAGTTCACTTTTGACTCTTTGATTCAGTCTAGATTTGTTTAATTTGTTTAAGTCTACCAAAGCTTTTGTAGCCATGAGATGTGCTGTCCTGCCCATTGGCTGAAAATCAGAAAATATGGAAGGGGACTGGAGATCTGTGTCTTGGAATCACTGGATCACTGCAGGGAGAATGTGCAATAAAAATGGGAACTCATGAGGTCTTTCCAGAGTTGTTACTGAAACTTAACTGTTTAAGGTGCTCTAAACCTGTGTGTTGTACAATATTTATATTCCATGTGCATGGGATTATCCAGAAAAGATCTTTAGGATTATCAAGTCCAACCACCAATCAGCACCAGCACCATGGTCACCACTAAGCCATGTCCTCAAGTGCCACATCCATGTGTTTTCTGAACATTTCCAGGGATGGTGAGTCCACCACTGCCCTGGGCAGCTGTGCCAGGGCTGGACAACCCTTTCTATGAAGAAATTTTCCCTAATATCTAATCTAAACCTAACATTCCTAATTTCCACAGAATCATCAAGGTTGGAAGAGATCTTCATCTAGTCCAGCTCTCAAGCCACCGCCACCATAATCACCCCTAAACCATGTCCCCGAGTGGCACACCCAGACACTTCCTGAACACTTCCAGAGAGTGGTGGTGACCCCACCACATCCCCGGGCCACAGTTGTCCCACTAGTTCTAAATTTAGTAAAAAAATAAAGACTGGAACAATTGGAAAACCAGTCCAGCAGAAAGTGGTCAGATGACATGACATTAAACCTCTGTGGAGCACTCAGCACGCCGATGTCGGAATCTACCCTGCTCTTTGGTTGGGATTCAGAGTTATAACCATGAGAGGACACGGAATCACAGAATGTTAAGGGGTTGGAATGGACCTTAAAGCTCATCTTGTTCCACCCCCTGCCATGGACAGGGACATCTCCCACTAGCCCAAGTTGCTCCAAGCCCCGTCCAACCTGGCCTTGGACACTTCCAGGGATCCAGAAGCAGCCACAGCTTCTCTGGGCAACCTGTGCCAGGGCCTCCCCACCCTCACAGGGAGGAATTACTTCCTAATATTAACCTAAATTTCCCCTCTTTCCATTTGTACCGTTACTCCTTGACCCGTCACTTCATTCCTGATGAATGCCTGAGATCCACTGGGCAGATCTGGAGTTGGTCATCCAGGGACAAGGATTCCTCTGCTTTCATGGAAGAGTTTCCCTCCCAGATGCCCATTTGCGCATGATGAGGAGGGGATGCTCACTCCAGGAGACAGGAATGTTTTCCACAAGTTCCCTGGACTGGAGGAGTGACAGCTGAAGGCTGAGCCCGTGGTGAGCAACAGATCTAATTACCACCTTCCTCCACTGATCTAATTACCACCTCCCTCTGCTCAGCCTTCCACCCATCCACTTCCTGAAATCTCTTTTTAGGGATCTGGGATTTTTGTCACTGTGCATTGGGCCGCAGCACAGCACAGCTTGTCACTGTGTCCTACATGTGCTCGTGGTGTCTGGGATTGGACCCAACCTGCTGGAAAATGATGTGGTTACAGTGGGATTTAACTCTCCAGCACGTCTCTCCCTCTGTGCCTGGTGCACAGCTGGGTGCCTGTTGCTCCAGGGAAATGGAGCAAGTGATTAATACCCCATCTAAACCCAAAAATCTCTTCTCCAGGAATACTTGGACCTGTTGCTTGCAGCTCAATGGAGCAACATTCCTTGGTGGCAGACACTTCCTCACACATGAAAAACGTGGAAACCCAAAGCTTCCTAAAAGCCCAAAATATTACCCTCCAGCATATGGCACCCAGGAGGTGAGTAAACTAGTACCTTCCTCTGCTGCTGGGCTTCCTGTGGTAGGTTGAAGGTGTTGCTTTGGGATTTTTAGTGCTGGGATCCCTGCAGGGCAAGGAAAGTGTTTTCTGCCCTGTCATCTGTGAAGGAGAAAGCAGATACTCTGTCAACTCCTTGGAGACAGTGCTGCAGGAGTATCCTGAGAGTATGAGGGCTGGAAATGGTGATCCATAGGGTGACTTGGTTCCAAATCACTTGTGTTGGGTGGTGCAGCCCGCTCCTGGTGGCCCCGGTGTGAGAGGGTGTCTCCAGGGGAAGCCGAACACTGAACATGTTGCTGGAGAGCAGGAGGAGCCAGAAACCTTCTCCCATCACAGCCTCCTAAAGCACCTCTGCTGGTCCACAGCCCTTCCCACAGCCAGGCCTGGGCAGCTGGTGGAAGTGCCAGGAATTTCTTCCATGTCAGCAAATGTGGAGAGAAAAATTCCTGGACTTCAAGGGTTTGGAGTGACAGGACAAGGGGGAATGGCTTCCCACTGCCAGAGGGCAGGGTTAGATGGGATACTAGGGAGAAATCCTTCCCTGTGAGGGTGGGGAGGCTCTGGCACGGGTTGATCAGAGAAGCTGTGGCTGCTTCTGGATCCCTGGAAGTGTCCAAGGCCAGACTGGACGGGGCTTGGAGCAACCTGGCTAGTGGGAGGTGTCCCTGTCCATGGCAGAGGATGGGACTGGATGAGCTTTGAGGTTCCTCCCAACCTAAAATATTCTGAGATTCTATGATTTATTCTCCTGTCTCAAGGTTTTTACAACTGTGCATATCCAACAGAATACCTCCTAATTTCCACAGATAAAATGAGAGGAAAACAAGCTTTTCCTGCTGTTTGGTGAAATTACCTATTTCTTTTGATGTGGAACTATCCCAGTAGTTAGAGCTCATTATTGCCCTGAGCTCGGCATTGCTGAAGGTACCATTTCCCTTTTCAGTGCAACCCTTTTCCCAGTAACACGGGGATGTATAGAAGATATTTTGGGCATTTGGGAGCCTGTTCTGGAAAGCAAACAGTCCAGATTGCACTGAGGACAATATCTGTTCCAGGCCTGGCTCTGTAGGTTTGGACTTGGAGTGAAACAACCAGCAATTTGCTAATAATCCATGACCTCTCTGCTTCCCAACAGCTGCCAGAAAGGAGCACATGGGGAAACGGCACCTGAACTGGCATGGATAGCATCTGAATGGCACCTGGAGCATGGAATGACAGTCCTAACCCAGGCATGTCCCATTATCTGCTCAGTAGTAATATGTATTTTCCCCTCTGTAGCAGTGAATCTGATGAGAAACTTGTTTAAACATGTCTTAAAATGGCTCTTTGTGGTCTCTTTGCAAATACGTGTTTCTTCCCCCCCACGACAACTGTTATCTCCCATGCAGGAATGTCCTGGGAAAGGTGTCCTGAGGTGTTTCATTGGACCTTGTTAACCCCTTCCTGTGATTGGGTGTTCCTGTAAGCCCCTTGAGACTTCTAATTGGTTACTCTGTGAATCCTCCTAAACCCTATAAATGTAACCCCCCCAGCAATAAACTCTCTCTTGCCTCCTCTCCACGCCGGTGTGCTGTCTCTGTGCCTGCCATGGGACCACGTGCATGGGGGGAGAGGAGGGCACCTCTCCCCTCCAGGCTCGGGGCCTGAAAAATCCTGTCGCTGGAGTTCCCTCTTCCCATCCCTCAAGACGTCGGAATGGTTCTTCAGATGGAGATGGAACTAGAACTGGGCTCCCCCACGTTGTGGGTGGGGAAAGGGATCCAGACCCCTCATCACTTTGCCCTCCAACAACACCCTCAGCACAAGGTGCTTGAGGAGTTCTGGGGGGTTATTTCCAACCCTGCTGATGTTCCAGCAGATCCCATTGTTGAGCCACGACTACCGAGTCCTGGCATTGGGAATGGAAGGCAGCAGAAGTGCTGCTCCTTTTGTTCCACCCAGATGATACCAATCAGTGGCCTCATTAATGACACCTTCATTAAACCGTGCCAACAACAAACCACTGCCTTTTTTTGGCTCTTCATTCCCAGATCCCTTTTTCCAATGTCACCATGGAGGGTTGACACAAATTACTGTGCCGCCAGCACAGCTGCCCTGCATAATTTGTTGTTGCATAAAGTTAGAATTAATGATTTTAACAAGTATCAAGGTTGTGATATTTATTAGGAATGTGCCTCTCTAATGAGCCCCATCTGTTACAACCCTGATTGCGCAGAGAGGATCCTGGGAGGGTGTGGAAGGATAAACCCCACCCAGTGTAACTGGAACTCTTAACTGGAAGTTGTGAGTAAATCTGTGATAGCACCAGTACATCCTATCCAGAAAAGTGGTGTCCCTTTTTTTTACTGATTCCTTGGGAAGTATTTTCATCGCTCACTGAGAATATTCTGGAGCTCTGGGAAGGTTTAGGATCACATCCAGAATAAGCAGGTCATGTTTGCTGATGCA